TTGAGAATCTCAATGTGTTGCCCAGGCTGGTCTCAAACTCCAAGCAACCCTCTCGCCTCAGCCGCCTGAGGAGCTGAGACTACACTGCCACGCCCAGCTGGATTTGGCTTTAAGTACAATGGGAAGCCATTGAAGGCTTTTGTTAAACACAGCTGAGTATACATGTCTGGCCGAGGACTGAGGGCTTTTTTGAAGCCTGAGATGCATAAAATGTGGAGACTGTGAGGACATCATGTTCTAGATAAGGAGGCAGATACCGGGGAAGAGCTTAGACTTGGCAAGGTGAGTGGAATAGGGTGGGCAGGCCTGAAATAGTTTGAGATTTACAAAGACTAGGATTTGAACCCTGGGTAATGAATTGTGCGATTTGGATGAGTTCCTTAAACTGTGTTCCAGGAATAAGTTGTATTCTAAAAATATTTCAACTTTGATAACCTAACAAGTTTGGGAACCACTGGGCTAAACAGTTAAATCTCTTTCACTTTTGGGCTTCTCAGGTTGTGAGATATCTTAATGATATGCTAATATATGTTACCATCCAGGAGGAACATGCAGTGTTTCCTAAACATAAAACCTCAATTAGCCAGGAGTGGTGGAATGCACCTATAGTCCCGGTTACTTGGGGGGCTGAGGTGGGAGGATCTCTTGAGCCTGGAAGATCAAGACTGTAGTGAGCCACAATCATGCCACTGCATGCAATTCAGCCTGGGTGACAGTGAGACTGTCTGTAAAAAACACTGACAAAACCCTAGAACATAGCACTGCCTGCGTCTCCATTTTCTCATCATTAAATAAGAAAAATGCACCCTGGGCCACATGGCAAGACCTGGTCTCTACAAATAATTTAAAAATATTTGCCAGACATGGTGGTGCACACCTATAGTCCTAGCTCCTCAGGAGGCTGAGGCAGGAGGACCGCTTGAGCCCAGGAGATCAAGGCTGCTCTGAGTCGTGATCGAGTTTGCTGTAAGATGGAATGAGATGAAGGGGTCTGGAAAGTGCTACACCCAGTGCCTCGCTCATGACAGATGCCCAGTAAGTGGTGGGTCCCCTCCCTATCTAAGGAAAAACTAACAAGAACTTTTGCCCCTTCTCTGCTCTCTACAGGCGGCTGAGTGACAGCCCCTCGGTGAAAAAGGAGAGTGAGCTGCCTCGCAGGGTGAACTCGGCCTCCTCCTCCAACCCCCCTGCCGAAGTGGACCCTGACACCATCCTGAAGGCGCTCTTCAAGTCCTCAGGGGCCTCTGTGACCACGCAGCCCACAGAATTCAAAATCAAGCTTTGAGCAGGGGAGTGAGGCAGCCAGAAGTGGGGGCAGAGGAGGGTGGCTCTGTTTCCCCAAGACAAAGCTTGTGACCAATGGGCCATCGGACTGGAGACCCCTGAGCATGGGCAGGGTCGCCGGGGGTAAAGAGCTTCCTCACTGGATGGGACCCGCATTTCTGTGTTGTGTTCTGCCCCGTGCTCTTCTCTGTTAACGTTTCCTGTAGTATGTTTCTTCTCCATCTCATCGCCAAGGTAGGCTTGTGTTTTCCAGAGCGTGCCTCTCCCAGCCCCAGCCCCAAGTGGATTTTTTATTTGGAAATGGTACACTAAATTCTCTGGGTGGCTTTCTTGTGGCCCCATAGGATGCAGGGCAGGGGCTGTCTGAAGGACCCTGGTTTTTCCAGGGGCCACGGGGCTGCCTTTCCTTTGTGTACGTTAAGCTTTTCAAATAACACGGGATGGAAAGCTCTGCCATCCTGACGGGAACCAGGTCGGCCTGAGAGCAGTGCCGCTCCTCTGCCTGGTCAGTGGAGATGCCTGGGTGGGGAGCAGTTCTCAAGCCTCTTGTCTTCTCCGTATTAGCTCCAGGCCTCACTAGTGGCAAGGGCAGGATGAAGCTGGACCGCTGGGAAGAGTCTGTCCAGGAGTGTGCTTGGCTTGGAGGCCCACACTGCCGCCACCCAGAGGTCGTTCTCCAGAGTTCACCTTGCCCTTGAGTTGTGCTGAATGCACCACCCCAGGTCTTTTTCCCTTCTGGGTGTCACTGCTGGGAGGGGGGTTATGTTGTGAGCCCTCCCGGTTCTCACCTAGCCTGGCACTCACCACACCCTGGTTTTGGTGCAGCTGCCAGCTCTCCTCTGGTTGGGCCTTTCAAAGGCTCCACCTCCCATTCTGCAACACGCGGGGGTTGGGGCTTATTTGAACGCAAGAGGTTGGTTTGCTCCTGGCTCTCCATTTCTAGCCTCAGTTGTCTACAGGACAGTGGTCAGGGATGCCCAGAGGCATATATCTAGCTGCCACCCAGCGTTCCCACTTTTGTGAGTGACCCATCCATCCATGACCAGAGGGATATTTTTCTGCCTTGGCAGAGGAGTTGTCAAGGGAACAAGGCAACTCTACTAGGCAAGCTGTTTCCCCAGCATAGGCGCCAGCAGTGGGCACAAAGCTATAGAGCCCAAGGGCCGTCCCTGAATTACCAGGCCAGTGTTGCCCCTGGTGTCACTGAGTGGTCTCCTGCTGGTTTCTTGGAACTGAAGGGAATCCAGGTTGGCAGAGCTGGAGCCAGTTGGGGAGCAGGATTCTCGGAGCTCTGCAGATTTTGTTGCAAGTACTGGGAAAGGTGCATGCTGGAGACAAGTGCCCAAGACTTGCTTGAGGTAGCCCAGTGAAGAAAAACCCAGAAACTCATGTTTCCAGAGGTCAGTCGGTCAGGCAGGAAGGACCCAGGGTTTGAACCCAGCTTCAATCCTCAGGCTCTGAGGTTCCCCAGGCCAGGAAAGGCCAAGGAAGGGGCCTGGTGGTGCTCCACTTCCAGTTCTTTAAAGATGCTGCTTTTTATTCTCTTAATCCCTTCAAGTGGGTGCAGACTGACTTCTCGTTAACAGCTGGAAGACATTCCTCCTACACTTTACCCATTCTGGCCCAAGAGAGCACCCAGAAGGTGGTAGGACCTGGTTTTTTAGGTACTGGGAACGGGGTTCACTGCTTGGACTTTGCTTAGGGTTGGGATGGTAAATATCCTGCCACCAGGCTTTACCCTCCCCTCTAGTCCCAAAGCTGATTATTCTGGTTGTCACAGTTTCATTGAGCCCAGCTGCAGCCATCTGGAGCTGGTGCTGTAGGTGATCATCTGGTACATTGAGGAGACCTGTTTGCCCCTCCACTGTATAAGCTGTCACCTTGGGAGACAGGGAAGAGAAGGCGGTGGGCCAGTCCTGTGTCCTCCTCCACTTCCCATGCCCCTGCGTTACCTATCTGTGTTTCTTGTGCAAAAAGAGAGGAAGAGGCATTAAGGGATGAAGGGTGATTATGTATTACTTATCCATTTCTGAATAAACGTTTGTTATTCCTACCTCTGAGTTGTCCTTTTTCTTTCCTTTTTTGAGACGGAGTTTCACTCTGGTTGACCAGGCTGGAGTTCAATGGCGCGATCTCGGCTCACCGCAACCTCTGCCTCCGTGGTTCAAGTGATTCTGCCTCAGCCTCCCGAGTAGCTGGGATTACAGGCATGTGCCACCACACCTGCCTAATTTTTTATATTTTTAGTACAGATGGGGATTCTCTATGTGGGTTCAGGCTGGCCTTGAACTCCTAATCTCAGGTGATCTGCCTGCCTTGGCCTCCCAAAGTGCTGGGATTACAGGCATGAGCCACCACACCCGGCCTTTTTGTTTTACTTTTTTTGAGACAAGAGTCTCATCTGTTGCCCAAGTTGGAGTGTAGTGGCACAGTCTTGGCTCACTGCAACCTCCTCCTCCCAGACAATCCTCCCACCTCAGCCTCCTGATTAGCTGGGACTACAGGCAAGTGTCACTATACCTGGCTAATTTTTGTAGAGATGGGGTTTCACCATGTTGCCCAGAGTTGTCTTGAACTTCTGACCTCAGTGGTCTGCCTGCTTCAGCCTCCCTAAGTGTTGGAATTACAGGCGTGAGCCAGCATGCCCAGTCAAGGGTTTTGATCTTTAGGGATTTCAACATTTGGGTTGCAACTTATTATTTAAAAAACAGAGACAGGTTCGTGCTATGATGCCCAGGATGGTCTTGAACTCCTGGGCCCAAGTGATCCTCCTGCTTCAGCCTCTGAAAGTGTTGGGGTTACAGGTGTGAGCCACTGCTCTCCACCGGGGATGCAGATTATATGAAATTCCCCTCTTTAGAAGGTGGGGTCCTGAATCCAAGTGGGCTCTGTTACTAATGGCAGCTGCTGATGGAAAATCGCAACCCCTCACCCAGTTTCTAGGCCTAAGCCAGGCCTCAGACCCAGAGGCCACTGATTGAAAGGGAGGCTGGAGTGCAGTGGGGCAATCTTGGCTTACTGCAATCTCCACCTCCAGGGTTCAAGCGATTCTCTTGCCTTAACCTCCCCAGTAGCTGGAATCACAGGCGTGCGCTACCACGCTGGGCTAATTTTTAGAGACGGGGTTTCACCACGTTGGCCAGGCTGGTCTGGAACTCCTGACCTCGTGATCCGCCCCTCTTGGCCTCCCAAATTGCTGGGATTACAGACATGAGCCACCGCACCCCGCCCCTCTGAAAACTTGAATCTATCCATGGCCAGCCCGGGGTGTCTTGCTCCAGGCCTGACATCCCTAATGTTCAGTCTCATATCTAACCACCCACCTGACATCTCCCCCGGGTGGCCTAATGGGCAGCTCCATATGGCCCACAGAGAACTGATCTCGATTTCCCCAAGCTGGCCTCTCCTGTGGTCTCCTCGTCTCAAGTCAGTGGCAACGCCATCCTCTTAGTTGCTCTAGACTGAAAACCTAGCAGCCATCCTGGATTTCTCTCACAATGCCTATTTAGTGTGTGAATGCATGAGTGGAAAGTTGAGTTCGTACTCGTGACTTACTGGGGTCTACGCCGACATTCGCTTCCACTTTTGCGCGCGCTGATTTGACTAAACGGATGAAGATTGGGCCCTGGCGGCCGGGGCCGGGGAGGCGGGCCTGGAGCCAGGGGGCGGGGCAGGCGGCCTGGAAATGCGCTCGCGCAGTCGCAAAACCACAACTCCCGGCGGCCCCTGCGCTCCCGGGCGGCAAGATGGTGGCGCGCCGTAGGAAGCGCGCGGCGCGGGACTCTGAGGACCGAATCCCGAGCCCTCCCGGCTATGCAGGTAAGAGGTTCAGGGACGCGAGACTGGGGACGGTCAGGCATCGCCGGGAGGTGTTTGCGGGGTTGGCGGCGGCCGGGGGGTCCCCAGGAGCGGCCGTACGGTTGGGTGTGAGCCCCGGCGTCCCCTGGTCCCAGGCTTGGGCAGGTTGTCAGGCCCGCGCGGGGCCCCGAGGACCCACGCGGCGCCCTTCTGTATGTCCACTCTCCCGGAGCGAGCCCGTCTGGGTCCACGCTTCTCTTGGGTGAGCCCACTCCACTCCTGCCCACACTCACACCCAGGGCAAACCCGTCTCCGTCCACACCCGCTTGTCCAGGTGAGCCCATCCCCTTCTCGCCTCTACTCTTAGTTCAGCCCACATGAGCTCTCTTACCTGGGCTCTTGTAGGCCTTCCTACTTGCTTTGCCCTTCTTCTCCTCTTGCTCGTTTCTGTTCTCCACCCAGGTGCCGGAATATTTTTAAAGGGCATTTAAATTAGATCGTGCCTCACACCCCCACGATAGCCCCCACACCCACTGCATTTTCTCCAGTGGCTTTATAAGGTAGCTTCTAAAACAGGAACCAGACTTCTAAGTCTGCGTGGCCCACGTGGTCTGGCTGATGCTGACCTGAAGTTCTTTCTGTTCCTTTGAGACAACATGCTTTTTCCTTTTCTGGATTTTTGCACGTGCTGTGCCAGTTTGTTGCACAGTGGCTTTCTAGTCTGAGTTTTTTTTCTTTTTTTTTTTTTTTTGAGGAAGAGGGAGAGAGGATGGGGGTATTGCTTTATTGCTCGGGCTAGAATGCAATCTAAATATGGGTATGCCTATAATTATCCTTAATAATGGAGATATAAAAGAAAATGAGGGAAGAGAATAACAAGGAGCCAACCAACATTTCGTTTAAACTTCTAAGTTGATATGATGTGGTACTGATAAGAGTGTATATTTTGTATATTTAAAGTGGAGAGTTCTATAAATGTTGATTACATTTACTTGTTCCAGATCTGAGTTCAAGTCCTGGATATTGTTGTTAATTTTCTGTCTCATTGATCTGTCTAATATTAATGTTGAAGTCTCCCACTATTATTATGTGGGAGTCTAAGTCTCTTTATAAGTCTTGTATGTCTGGGTATTCCTGTATTGGGTGTGTATATATTTAGGATCTTTAGCTCTTCTTGTTGTTGCATTGATCCTTTTATCATTATATAATGTCCTTCTTTGCTTCTTTTGATCTTTGTTGCTTAATTGTAACTTCTGCTTTTTATTTATTTATTTTAGCTCTCTGTTTGGTCGGTAAATCCTTCTCCATCCCTTGTTTTGAGTCTTTGTGTATCCTTGAATGTGAGATGGGTCTGGATGCAGCATACTGATGGGTTTTAGTTTTTTATTCAAATTGCCTGTCTGTCTTTGGATTGGGGGATTTAGTCAATTTAAATTTAGAATTAATAATAATATATGTGAGTTTAATACTGCCATTTAATATTAGCTGGCTATTTTGCCCATTAGTTGATATAAATTCTTCATTATATTGATGATCTTTTTGGTATTTTTTTGGAAAGGCTGATACTGTTTGTTCCTTTCTATGTGTAGTGGTTCTTTCAGAAGCTCTTGTAAAGCAGGCCTGGTGGTGATGAAATCTCTGAGTGCTTGCTTATTCACAAAAAACTTTATTTTTCCTTCACTTGTGAAGCTTAGTTTGGCTGGATGTGAAATTCTGGGTTGAAAGTTCTTTTCTTTAAGGATGTTGAATATTGGCCCCCACTCTCTTCTGGCTTGTAGGGTTTCTGCTGAGAGATCTGCTGTAAGTCTGATAGGCTTCCCTTTGTGGGTAACCTGACCTTTCTCTCTGACTGCTCTTAGTATTTTCTCCTTCATTTCAACCCTGGTGAATCTGACGATTATGTGCCTTGGAGTTGCTCTTCTTGAGGAATATCTCTGTGGTGTTCTCTGTATTACCTGGAGTTGAATATTATCCTGCCTTACTAGGTTGGGAAAATTTTCCTGAAGAATGTCCTGAAGCGTATTTTCCAGCTTGGATTCATTCTCTTCGTCACATTCAGGTACACCTATCAAGCGTAGATTAGGCCTTTTCACATAGTCCCTTATTTCTTGGAGACTTTGCTCGTTTCTTTTTATCCTTTTTTCTCTAATCTTGTCGTCTTGTTTTATTTCATTGAGTTGGTCTTCGACCTCTGATATCCTTTCTTCTGCTTGATCAATTCGGCTGTTACAACTTGTGCATACTTCACGAAGTTCTCGTATTGTGTTTTTCAGCTCCATCAATTCACTTATATTCCTCTCTAAATTGTGTATTCTTGTTAACGTTTCGTCAAATCTTTTTTCAAAGTTCTTAGTTTCTTTCGATTGGTTTAAAACAAGTTCTTTTAATTCACAGAAGTTTCTTATTATCCACATTTTGAAGCCTGCTTCTGTAATTGGAACACACTCGTTCTCCATCAAGCCTTGTTCCGTTGCTGATGAGGAACTATGATCCCCTGCTGAGGGAGAGGCGTTCTGATCTTGGGTATTCTCAGCCTTTTTTGGCTGTTTTCTTCCCTTCGTTATAAATTTATCCATCTGTGGTCTTTGTATTTACTGTTTTTGTAATTGGGTTTCTGAGTGGACGTCCAACTTATTTATTGATTCTCAGCGCCGAAATCTGAGCAACCCACTGCACCGAGTAAATCAGCGGCGTTAAGATTGATGGTGCTTTTCTGACTCTGCACTGGGAACCGATGCTCCAAGGCGCCAGCAAAACTGCCTCGCGCTGGCGACCCGTGGGGCTCCTCCGCTGGGAATCTCCTGGTGCGTGAGCAACAAGAATTCATGTGACGGTGTGGCGTCCTCGTTCTTTGCGCTTTCACTGGGAGCTACAATCCCAAGCTGCTAGTGATCAGCCATCTTGGATCTCTCTCCCTCTCTAGTCTGAGTTTTAATGTTGCTTCCTCAAAGAGGCCATCCCTGATGGCCTATGGAAAGACGACCTCTGCCACCCTATCACCCTGTGTGTTTCTTTCATTACTGATACAAGCTTACTGTGTGCTTGCTTATTATTAGTCTTCTCCATTATTGCAACTGAGCTTCCTGGGTTCAGGGACGGAAGCTCTATCCCAAACGGTACTCTGATGGAGAAAAACAGCAGTTCCTAGCTTTATGAGGATTACAGTCATGGGTGTGCCAGCGAGTAACCAAATAATCCCATCAGTATAGCCTACAGACTCGTAGAGAAGCTGTGAAGGCACAGGCACACCTAGTAGGAGGGGCTGGGGGAGATGCTGAGGCTCCCTTGAGAAGAGAGGTTTGAGCTAAACCTGAAGGTTAGGGGGAGGGAAGAGGGTGTCGTGCCAGGTAGAGACACCAGCGTGTGTGAGGCCCTGGTATACTCAAGGGGAACAGGGAGAATCCCAGGTGGTGGGGGAAGATGGTATGAGAAGAGGCCACATTGGCAGGCAGGGTCTCATGGGGCTTCCAGCCATGTTTAGGATTTTGGTGTTCACTCCAAGAGCCACAGGGTTTGAGCTTCCCTCTCATTGTGCCGCCACCTGTAATCATTGCCCATTTATCTTCTCTTCCCCCCCCCCCCCACCAACGAGCTTGGGAGGCCCTCCTGGGCAGACTCTTAGAGCCTGCACAGGCTTTGCCAAAGGGTAAGGTAGGGGGTCGGTGAAGGAACAGATGGATCAGTGAGCAGATGGGACTAGACAGGGTTGTGGACAAAGGGAGTTGTGGGAATGTCTTGCTGGACTCAGCTATTGGGTGGTCTCATTCCAGCAATGAGAGTGTGTCTCAAAAAAAAAGTATAATCTTAAGTAGCCCAAAGCTTTTTTATATATTACCCAAAGTTGTTTGAATTACATTTTCTTCCAAATTATACGTCCATAATTTAAAAGTAGGAAAGTATAAGAAAATAAGGAAGTTGTGTGAATGTCTCACTGAGCTAATTCCTCCCTTCCAATTTTCTTTCCAGCTATTCCAATCAAGTTTTCCGAAAAGCAGCAGGCTTCTCACTACCTGTATGTGAGAGCACACAGCGTTCGAGAAGGCACCAGGTCCACCTGGCCTCAGAAGAGGACTCTTTTTGTCCTCAATGTGCCCCCATACTGTACAGAGGTGAGCTGGTGTCTGGGAGGGGACCTGTGGGCTCAAGGTGGGGGCTCCCATAGCCTCCACAAAGTCCTTAGTGGTGAGACAGACACAGCTAATGGGAGCTCCAGAGGAGAGTGTCAGGAGGGCCACCTTGATCTCAAGTCAGGAACCTGGCTTTTTAAAGATGTCTTTAAAATTAAAAGTATAATCCTGCCAGGCATGGCGGCTCATGCCTGTAATCCCAGCACTTTGGGAGGCTGAGCCAGGTGGATCACCTGAAGTCACGAGTTCAAGACCATCCTGGCCAATGTGGTGAAACCCTGTCTCTACTAAAAAATACAAAAAATTAGCCCAGCATGGTGGCATGCGCCAGTAGTCCTGGCTACTCTGAAGGCTGAGGCTTGAGATTCCCTTGAACCCCGGAGGCGGAGGTTGCAGTGAGCCAAGATTGCACCACTGCACTCCAGCCTGGGCGACAGAGTTAAGACTCCATCTCAAAAAAACAAAAATTGGCCCGGCGCAGTGGCTTAAACCTGTAATCCCAGCACTTTGGGAGGCCAAGGCAGGTGGATCACGAGGTTAGGAGTTCGAGACCAGCCTGGCCAATATGGTGAAACCTGTCTACTAAAAAAAAGGCAAAAATTATTTGGGCATGGTGGCATGCGCCTGTAATCCCAGCTACTCAGGAGGCTGAGGCAGGAAAATTTCTTGAACCTGGGAGGCAGAGGTTGTAGTGAGCCAATATCGTGCCACTGCACTCCAGCCTGGGCAATAGAGTGACACCGTCTTTTTAAAAAAAAAAAAAAGGTATAATCTTAAGTAGCCCAAAGTTGTTTGAATTACATGATTTTTTTTCCAGGTTATACATGTCCATAATTTAAAAGTAGGAAAGTATAATAAAAAATGCCTCTAATTCTATCCAAACACAATTTTTTTTTTTCACAGAAACCAAGGGAATTGCTGGATTTTCTTTCCTTTATTTGAGACGGAGCCTCTGTTGCCCAGGCTGGAGTGTAGTGATCTCGGCTCACTGCAACCTCCACCTCCTGGGTTCAAGTGATTCTCCTGCCTCAGCCTCCCTCCCAGGCAGCTGGGACTACAGGCGCCCACCACCATGCCTGGTTAATTTTTGTATTTTTAGTAGAAACGAGGTTTCACCATGCTAGCCAGGTTGGTCTCAACTGACCTGAAGTAATCCACCCGCCTTAGCTTCCCAAAGTCCGAAGATGACGCCTAGCCAAGGGAATCGTTACATTGTAGATGACTTTTTTTTTTTTTCCTTCCCAAAAGAAACCCTAATTTGTAAAAGATTCCTCTCAACTTAGAGAAAAAAAACAGCATGGAGAACAAGGGGTGTTGGTTCTGACCCTAACTGAAGTGCAGCAGGTGTGCAGGGAAGGTCCCCAGCTGCAGGTTCCAGCTCGCTGCACCACAGAGACAGAACACTCCTGTGTAGTCAGCAGCCAGGTGGAGACACAGCAGTAGATCCCAGAAACTGCCTCCTGCCTCCGCCCCACAGATCACCACCATCCTGATTGTCACAGCATAGTCTGACTGCTCCTGGCTCAGGTGGTAAAACTTAGTTGTCTCGTAAAATCAGAATACCAGTGAGAATGTCCCCACCTGTCTTGCATGAGAGCACGGGAATGGCGGGGCACAGTGCCTCATGTCTGTAATCCTAGCGCTTTGGGAGGCCGAGGTGGGTGGATCACCTGAGGTCATGAGTTCAAGACCAGCCTGGCCATCATGGTGAAACCCCATCTTATTAAAAAAAACAAAAGAAAAAAAAAGTGGGAATATCCAGGCTGGGTGGCTGACGCCTGTAATCCCAGCATTTGGGGAGGCCAAGGTGGGCAGATCCCCTGAGATCTGGAGTTCTAGACCAGCCTGGTCAATGGAAAACCCTGTCTCTACTAAAAATACAAAAATTAGGCTGGTGTGGTGGTGAGCACCTGTAATCCCAGCTACTTAGGAGGCTGAGGCAGGAGAATCACTTGAAACCCAGAGGCAGAGGTTACAGTGAGCTGAGATCACTCTACAGCACTGCAGCCTGAGCTACAGAGCAAGACTCCAACTCAAAAAAAGAGCAGGAGTATCAACCTCCATATTGTCCCTGGGGAATAGGTCAGAGGGCATAGTGCCCACAGGCTCCCGCTGTGGGCAGACGTGTCAGTGGCTCGGAGTCCTTCAGGGGTGCTGGAACCCTGGCAGCACCACCCAGGGTGGAGGGAGGCTTGGGGACGGCCCTGCGGATGCTCACACTCGGCTTCCCTCTCGCCCCGGCAGGAGTGCCTGTCCCGCCTCCTGTCCTCCTGTGGCCCTGTCCAGTCTGTGCAGTTGCAGGAGAATCCGGACCCCGCCGAGAGCCCGAAGGAGCCAGGGTCGAAGTTTTTTCATCCCCAGCCAGTTCCGGTGAGCCCCCAAGCACGAGTTCTCCCAGAGTGAGGTGGGTGAGGCATCGTCCCAGTGTGTGGGGGGAGCTGGCAGTGCATTCTCTGTGGTCCTGAGCCCATCCTCACTGTGTGGTCTAGGAGGCTGTCCGGGTGACAAAGCCTGCGATTCCATCCCAGATTTGTCACATCCTTGCATTTCCTGCCTTGCCTTTTCTTTCCCGGTTAAAGCTCAGGGACCATCTCTGATGGCTGCCTGCAGGGCCTCCGCCAGCTCCCCTCCTGCTTCCCCTACTGAGGGAGCGCCTTCCCTAGGTTCTGGGGCTGGGTCTCCAGGAACACTGTTGTTCACAGCTTTCCCAGTGGCCCTGGAGCCCACACCTCCCCCTTGCACAGTGGCATCTGGCATGGTGTGTGTGCCCACACCTGGCTTCCAAAAACCTGCCCTGGCCCAGGGCAACCCCTGCTTTTCACCGAATTCCTCCTGTAACTGGAAGAAAGGAAGCCTGCCTGTCCCTTCTTCCTGGGGAAGAGCTGGGAACAGATGTCACTTCCCACAGAAGCAGGATAACGGGAAGTGTGGCTGCCATGACCTGGATTATAAGATGGCCTCTGGTTCTCTCACAGCTCAGGATTAGCCTAGTACTGTCTCCCCTGGTGTAGCCACCAGCTAGGCTGAGGGCAGGCCTGGAGACCTTGTTCCAGACGTGGGTAGGAGCCCCCACCCTCTGACATGTCTCTGTCTCTCTAGGGGTTCCAGGTAGCCTACGTGGTGTTCCAGAAGCCACATGGGGTGTCAGCTGCCTTGGCCCTGAAGGGCCCCCTGCTGGTGTCCACAGAGAGCCACCCTGTGAAGAGTGGCATTCACAGTCAGTACTGGAGAAGGGGTCTGGTGCCTCCTTCTTGGGCTCTGGGTTGGTGGGACATTATGGGGACAGTTTTTGAATGTCACAAGCCACATCCATGCTCCCTGAGAGCAGTGTGTGGAGGGCTGGGCTGAGGGGCTATATCTGGGCCCCCAGAGAGTCGTTAGCCTGAGCCCCTGGCACTGAGTGGCTGGGCAGGCAGAGGCAAGGGCCCCACTTGCAGCCACTGGGATTTCCTTCGCACCTGTTCCCCGAGCCCTGTGTGAAAAGGTCCCGATGTGCCTAAGGAAGCCCGTCTCCCTGGCTCCCTTCTCAGAGTGGATCCGTGACTACGCAGACTCACTGCCCGACCCTGAGGCCCTGAGGGTGGAGGTGGACACCTTCATGGAGGCATATGACCAGAAGATCACTGAGGTAGGGGTTCTAAAGGGACGACTGGGCGCCGCAGCGCCCATGTGGCTGTGGGAAGGTGACGCTCCAGGAGGAGGACAGTGGTGGCCTGTCCCTGGCCACTCATCCCTGCTGGATCCGGGGCTGCCTGGCTGAGTGACATCTAACCTCCACATGGTCTGTAGTGGAGAAGGAGGCAGCTCCGGAACGTCTGTGCTCTCCCCGCCACCCTCAGCCCCAGCGCTGTGCTGGGAGTCGGTGAGCAGCCTTGCCCCTGTGGGAGTGCAGCACAGTTCTCACTTTGGGAGGAGGGCATGCTGCTGGAGGCTGCAGGAGGGCCCAGGAACCTGCCAGACAACAGGGTCACCTTCCCCACAGGAAGAAGCTAAGGCCAAGGAGGAAGAGGGGGTCCCTGACGAGGAAGGCTGGGTGAAGGTGACCCGCCGCGGCCGGAGACCTGTGCTACCCCGGACGGAAGCAGCCAGCCTTCGGGTGCTGGAGAGAGAGAGACAAAAGCGCGCCCGGAAGGAGCTGCTCAACTTCTACGCCTGGCAGCACCGCGAGAGCAAGATGGAACGTAAGCCATGCCTCCAGCCCATCCTCAGGCCCCATGGCTTTGGCCCCAGCTGTGGATGAGGCCTGTGGTCAGCACTTCCGAGGGAGGGTGTCCCTACTCACAGGGTCCCCTCCCGGATCTGTGGAAAGTGGCCCAGCCTGGTAGCACCCTGTGTTGGGGCTGGGTCACCCCATCACCCACCAGAGGCAGCTGCATTTGCTCAGTGGGTGGGGACCCTGAGTCCTCAGTGCCCACCTCTGGGCCCCTCTGCACTTAGTGCTGGCGTTTGTCAGTCTCTACCCAACAAGGAGTCCAAGTGCAGAAGGCACTTACAGACCTACTGTGGGTGCAGAGAGGGTGCTGCAGACTGTGTGTGGTATGTCAGGTGGCCCTCAGGGGACCCTCCCATGGTTGAGCACCTGCGGGCCAGTCCTGGTGCTGAGGCTGAGCCCTCTGCCCCACTGCCTACAGGACAGCTTCCCTGCGGGCACGGGGACGGGCCCTGCGGCATGCCCTGAGCCACCCGCACAGTCACTGGTGCTTTCCCTGCCTCACTGGCCCTCTTGGCTCCTGCCCGTGCTCACTGTAGACTCTCAGTTTCCCCCTCACCTGGGCCACTCAGTGACCAGAGTTGCCATCTGCGTGGAGTCCCTTTACCAATTCCCAGGGTTCCTCCAGGCTGAGTGGTCCCAACTCCTTTCGTCGCCTTGGGCAGGGGCAGGTACAGGTACCTTTGCTTGGTTGCTGGGGCTTCATCTCCAGGCTAGCCCACTTTGGCTTTGGACTCTGCAGCTGTGTTGTTTGCTTAAGGGATCCAGACCCTGCCTCCAAAGCAGAGCTGGGAAGGGGGATGGGTTGGTGGGGGGGGAAGATGTACCCTGACAATAATGGAGGAGGGGTGGAGCATGAGCAAGCTGGCTCCCCCTGGGGCGTGCCGACCCTGCCCTTTGCTTTTCACCCCCAGATCTAGCACAGCTGCGCAAGAAGTTCGAGGAGGACAAGCAGAGGATCGAGCTGCTTCGGGCCCAGCGCAAATTCCGACCTTACTGAGCTGGGAGAGCCACACCAAAAAGGAACTTGAGGCAAGGTGGGCCCCAGGTTGAGGGCCACAGTGTCCAACAGCCCCAGTCACAGGCCACACGGCTGGGAGTGAAGGACCGTGCCACCCCTCAGGTCTTGTGCTTCAGCAGTCCTGGGGCGTGCCCAGAGGAGGATTTGCCCCTTCTGCCTCCATACCCTCCTCTCAAGGACCCTTCTCCCCTTAACCTCAATGGAAATGCCCCTGCTGGCAGCGAAACAGCCTCAAAAGCAGTGAGAATACCAGCACATCTCGTATTTTTCATCCAGTTGGGCCACAAGGAAAGGCCTAGGTGGGCCTACCCTGCCCTTCCTCCCTGGAGATTGTCTCCCTCTTGAGGTCACAGATGTTCAAGGTGGAATCTTGCTCCCTTCCTCCTGAATCTACCATCCTAGGCTGGGCTTCCAGACCAGTGAGCCTTTCCCCACCATGCCTGGCCTGCTTGCAGGGCTCGGGAACTCAGTCTCAGTGCCGAGTCTGGGAGCATGAAGTCTTCATAGTTCCAGGCCCAGAGCTACAGCTGGTATGGAAGCCTGGGTTTGCTCTGTAGAAAGGAGCCGATGATACTGGCTACATGCTGGGGTTCGTTCATGTGGACATAGTGAGTGCCTGGGACTTCCACAAACTGGAACTGCTGGAGAGGGGAGGAGGCACATGGTGAGAGGTGCCCCGGGAGCTCCACAGGCTCTCGGGTACACTAGGCCCTCCCACAGCCTTCTGGCTCCCTGCGCCTCCCACGGTGAGTTTCCCCACACTCAGCTCCTTGGAGCCCCACCAGTCCACGACACCCCAGGGGTTGTCCAAGCCCTGGGGACTTGGAGGCCTCCCAGGGGTCTAGGACAGCTCACTTTTGAAATTGCATAACAGGGACAGGGAGAGGAAATGACCAGGGTTGCTGTGACTCTACCAGAGGAGGTCTGCTTGAGATAAGATAATGAGGTGGGGGTGTGAGCAGCCGGCAGCCTTGTCCCCGCCTTTAAGCACCCAGACTGCAAGGCCTTGCTTGCCTAGGCGCTGACCTGGCAGCTGGCCGGCCACAGGTGGATTTCCCTTTGTGACAGTGCCTAGAAAGAAACCTGCAGAGGCCCCAGGGTCAGGTGTTCATGGGTAGATGACCATGAAACACCAGGTACTCCCAAGAACCTAGGCAAAAGCCACCCCCACCTACAGGCAGCATGCCCACTGGTGTGATGGGTAAAGAGAGGCAGCAGTCAGGTCTGCTGTGGTTTGGGAGCCTATAAAATGTGAGATAGGCCGGGCATAGCGGCTCCCACTTGTAAACCCAGCACCTCAGGAGGCCAGGGTGGGCGGATCATGAGGTCGGGAGTTTATGGCCAACGTGCTAAAACCCCATCTCTACTAAAAAATACAGCGATTAGCCAGGCATGGTAGCATGTACCTGTAATCCCAGCTACCCAGGAGTCTGAGGCAGGAGAATTACTGGAACCTGGGAGGCAGAGGCTGCAGTGAGCCACGATCATGCCAGCGCACTCCAGCCTGGGCAACAGAACAAGACTCCATCTCAAAAACAACAACTTGGGGTCCGGGTACAGTGGCTCACATCTGTAATGCCAACACTTTGGGAAGCCAAGGCAGGTGGATCACGAAGTCAGAAGTTCAAGACCAGCCTGGCCACCATATTAAAATCCCATCTCTACTAAAAATACAAAAATTAACTGCCTGTGGTGGCAGGTGCCTGTAATCCTAGCTATTTGGGAGTCTGTGGCAAAAGAATCGCCTGCACTTGGGAGGTAGAGGTTACAGAGAGCTGAGATTGTGCCACTGCACTCCAGGCTGGTGACAGATCGATACTGCCTCCAAGAAACAAAGTCAGACTATTAGCTGGGATGATAGCATGCACCTGGTAGTCCCAGTTACTGAGGACGCTGAGGTGGGAGGATCATGAGCCCAGGAGTTTGAGGCTCCAGTGAGCTATGACTGAGCCGCCGCACTCCAGCCTAAGTAACAGAACAAGACCCTGTTTCTCAAAAAAATTAAAAATGTGAAACTGTCTCTAGCATTTGGGTCACCAAATTGTGTCTGGCCCGAGGAAGGAGAGGTGAGTATATAAGGACTATAAGAGATTTGTTTCTGTTAAGTGAAGGTGCTGTAAAAAGAATTTTTTTTAAAAAAAAGATTTGTTTCATGAATTCTGATTACATTTGTGCCCAGGCCTCTAGGGACTGACCACAGTGGAGAGTGATACCTGATAGCTCCTGGTGGTCACCTGTTAACGGGGCCTGGGGTCAGACCAGGGGTTTCCCAGTGCAAAAGAAGAGATGGGTGGGGTGGGACCAGAGTGGGTGACAGTGACAGACACCAGCTGCCTGAGCCCTGCGCCTTACCTCTTTGAGGGTGGATTTCAGCATGTCTATTATGAACAAGAAGGGCTCCTTGTCAGCGTCATTCTCCCTTCTCACATCGTAATATCCGTGGACTGCTCTGGAAAGTGAAGAGTTGGGGTTATTGGGGTTCATCTTAGAACTGCCTCCCAGCACTGTCCTCATCCTGCCCCGTGTTCAGGCCTCTGAGGAGAAACCAAAGCCTGGGCTGTCCCAGCTCCCACAGCTGGGTCCCCCGACCCTAGACTGGATTTGAGGCTCAGTTAATCTCAGCTCATACGCAGGTAGCACAAGCCATGCGAAAGCAAATGCTTCAGGTGCACCCCGCAGCAGTGCAGGGAGTTCAGGACCTGCCAGTCACAGCCCAGAATAGCAGAGCTGGGATCTCAACAGGCTCTGGAGTCCACACTTGGCTGAGGGAGAATTTACATGTCTTACAACCCTCCCATTCAGCGTTGTGAGACTATCATTACAATTACAGAACATTTTCATCACCCCCAAAGGAATCCCAAACCTCTGAGCTTTCTCACACACCCCACAGGCTTCCGGTCCTGAGCGACCACGAACTGGCTTTTCTCTGCAGTGTGCCCTGTTCGGACTTTAACATGAATGCAGTCCTACGACACGTAGACATTTATGTCTGACTTCCTAGTGTAGTTTCCAAGGTTCATCCCTGCTGGAGCTCACGTCAGTGCTTCATTTCTGCTTAAAAATTGTCTGTGGTAGGGTCAGGCATGGTGGCTCATGCCTGTAATCCCAGCACTTCGGGAGGCTGAGGTGGTCTGGATATCAAGACCAGCCTGGCCAACATGGTAAAACCCATCTCTACTAAAAATACAAACAGCTGGGCGTGGTGGCAGGCACTGGTAGTCCCAGCTACTTGGGAGGTTGAGACAGGACAATCGCTTCAGTCTAAGAGGTGGAGGCTGCAATGAGCCGAGACCATGCCACCGCATTCCAGCCTGGGCAACACAGCAAGAGTCCATCTCAAAAAAAAAGTCTGTGGTGTGAATGGATCATGTTTTGCTTGCCTGTTTATCCACTGGTGGACATTTGTGTCCTCCACCTTTTTTCTTTTTTGGAGACAGGATCTTGGTCTGTCACCCAGGCTGGAATGCAGTGGTGCAATCACAGCTCACTACAACCTCCTGAGTAGTTGGGACCACAGGCATGTGCCACTGCTCCCAGATAATTTTTTTCTTTTGTATCTTTTGTAGAGACGGGGTTTCACTATGTTGCCCAGGCTGGTCTCAAAACTCCTGGGCTCAAGTGATCTGCCCACCTTAGTCTCCCAAAGTGCTGGAATTATAGGCACGCGCCACCACTGAGCACTTTTTCATCTCCACCATTAGTCTATTACAGAATGCTGCTACAAACATTAATGTTCAGGTTGTGTGGACATGTTTGCATTTCTCTTACAGATAGACCTAGAAGTGCTGGTGGCATGGTAACTCTGTTCGGTAGCTCGAGAAGCTGCCAGAACAGTTCATGGCTCCACAGCAGTTCGTGAAGTTTGACTGCTCCACATCCTTGCCACCTGTTACCTATTTGCCATCCCAATGGGATGAGGTGGTTTCTTGCTGTGGTTTGGATTTGTGTTATTTTATTCTTTGAGATGGAGTCTCATTCTGTCACTCAGGCTGGAGTGCAGTAATGAGATCTCAGCTCACTGCAACCTCTGCCCTGAGTTCAAGCAATTCTCCTGCCTCAGCCTCCTATGTCGCTGGAATTACAGGCACCCACTGCCACACCAGGCTCATTTTTGTATTTTTAGTAGAGATTGAGTTTCATCATGTTGGCCAGGCTGGTCTTGAACTCCTGACCTCACGTGAGCCACCACGCCTGGCCTGCATTTGTATTTCTTGAGGTCTGCCCATCTCTGGCTCCTGTGGTCTGGTTATAGAGGCTTACCTGGGCATGCCCCCAGCTGCCACCTGTGGAAAGGCTTGGCACAGCCCTGGCCCATCCTCTGCTGCCTGAGCCCTGCCCTCCTTTGACAAAACTTTGTAAGTCCATGACCCTGCTGCCAGGAGGGCTTCCCAAAAAAGATCTCCAGCCTCAGTGGTGTGGTCACCATGCAGAGAACTTGGAGCCACACGCCAGGGCTCCCTCCCGGAGATTCCTGGCACCCATGTCTTTTCTGGGGGTGACTGGAGGGCGCTTAGTCCAGACTTACTTAATGAGCAGGACGTGGGCCTGCAGCTTCCTGATGAAGTGCACAAACAACTCCTTGCTGATGAAGTCAAGGCTGAGCTCTGGCTGCAGAGACAAAAGCATGGTGAATTCTCATCACGGGGCACAGGCACCCTCATGGGCCCGAAGCCCGTCTCTGTTGGGGTGGCTAAGCCCTGGCGAGGCCACATTAGCCATCCACTGTGGGACCAAGCCCAGGACCCCAACACATCACCACCTTGTTGAAGGCTCTTTAGCCTCCCATGGCCAGAGACACCTGCCCTCTTCAAGTCTATTCTCTCCTCTTCCTGGGCTCACGGCTACCCAGCCTATTTCCCATACTCCTTCGCCACCAGGTATGGCTGTGTGATTAAAGGCAGAGAAGTGATTTAGGCCACTTCTGGGCCTGGATTTTAGGACTGAAGTGTAGCCCTTCCACACCCCTTTCCCATCCATAGGGTGCACCGCACGCTGTCCCCTGCCAGCCTGGGTGGTGCCCTTGACTGTGCTAAGCAGCGTGTGAGGCATTGCCAGGAGGAAGAAACCTGCTGGGACCCCAGTGCAGGGTCAGCACTCTATGATGGCCCCTGCCAGCCTCCTCCGTGGTCCTGCCCGCCCTGTCTCGTGTCTATTTCACATCTGTATGGCGGGGATGTGGCCAGATTTAGTGAGATGTGCTACAGGTGTGCCACAAAGCTGGATTTGGAAAACTTGGCACACAAAATA